CACACACGCATGCATACACACACACACATACACAAATACACGCCAACAGACACACACACACATATAAATACATACACACGCACACACACACACATACAAACATACACACACACATACACACATTAACACACACACCCACACACACACACTGACCGTGGGAAGATGCTGCCTCCTCTCCTGCACGGTGTACTTCACCCAGGACATGATTGCGCTGTAGACCTGCTCCTCCGTGCGTACGTTCAGCTCCTCACTACAGATGATGTCCACCAGCTGGTTCACCGGCAACAGCATGAACTCTTCACTCTCCATCACCTGACCAAGAAAGTACAAGCTGTTACACAAACTCACCGAGAGCTCACCCACCAGCCAGTGGCCACTGAAACAGATCTAGGTCTCATGAGACAAACAAACTGTACTTGAAAAATTAACAAACTGCCTGTGCAAAAAGTATAATGAAATGTCTTGATGTGAAAACAATAAACCACTTTCTCTATCAACTAAAAATAAAAGTCTATACAAGAAGCAAAAGAAAGTAATTGTCTATGTAAGCAGTAAAAAAATATCTACAATTAAAAAAAAAAAATTCTATATCAGAAAAATTCATGAACTATCTCTTTAAAAAATAATAAAAGGGCTATCCATATAAATTATAAAAATAATCAAAGCACTGTCTACTTATTAACATAAATGAACTGTCTTCATGAGAAAAACAAATGAACTGTCTATTTAAGAAGACAAATGACCTCTATACACACAAGAAAAATAAACGAACGGGCTGCACTATATAAGAAGATCAATAAATGAACTATCTGTATAAGAAAATAAAAAGAACCTTCTCCAGGGAAAAAAAACAAGAAAAAAAAAACCTTTCATCACCTCTTGGAAATTATGATGTGTGAACTTGTCAGCAATGCGTAGAAGGTCCCTACACGCGTGTGTGTCTGCAAATGCTCGAATGCCCAGACAATTGGATGGGTCCAGCTGTCTCTTCAGAAATTCGCAACAGACATCTTGAATTTCCACCAACTGATATATGTACAGAGAAATTTGGATGATTTAATATAATCATATCTGGAACCTCAGGAAAAAAATTATTCATTACAAGAAAACTTATCCAGGTAAAGAATTCCTTATTAATATTAATATATATCCAGAAAAAGATTAAGTATCACTATCAAGTCATGAGTGAAAAGAATTATTATCATTACTCATTAAATCATCCAGGTAAAGAATCATTATCATCGTAAATTCAGTTATTAAGGAAAAGAATTATCATCACTATTACTATTAATAAAATAATCCAGGCAAAAGAATTATTACTATTACAAACGATGTATATATATCTATTTATGTGTGTGTGTGTGTAACTGTGTGCACAAATATACAGTGAAGTCCACTTAAAACAAATCAACTGAAAAAACAATAATAGAAATGTTACCCCTTTGTTTGTCTTTGTAAAAAAATAATACATCGACCAAAATCCTCTTATTTCTAAACAAAAAAGAATTTCAGAGGTAATGTTCTAAATCTTCACAAGCAACCCTCAAGTAATGCAAATCACCACGTTTATCAAGTCTTATGCGCTTCATGATGGGGAGACAGAAGACGAGGACATAAGGACTCCTATGTGTGTCGAATATGGGCCCGAGAGACGTATCGCCAGGGTAATGTTTGCCTGTATTTCTCCAAAAAAAAACCATCACAGGCCTTTTATTTACCCAAAAATAGGCTCTGAGAATGAATGTGTGCCATGTGACCTATGGTTAGTCATGGCTTAATCATCAGGTTGATAGACAACATTTTTGTGTACCTGTAGTAGACATGCGGCCGGCAACAAAGTCTGCACGTTACTTTCCTCCACTGTGATGCTGGATGTGTAACAGAAGTCTATAAGAAGCTCCATGGCCGTCTCATCTATGTCCTGACCACAACAAAAGGGGACGGGAATGAGAAACAGCGAGACACCAACAGTGGAGGGAATATTCAAATAAAAATGCCCCCCCCCCCCCCCCCCCCACCGCAAAATCCAAAGAAAAAAACAAAACAAAAAAACAACAACTAAAAAAAAAACCCCATAGTATCAGTAAATATACCACATATAATGAACACTGCCTTCACCACAAAACACACAATTATTACCTCAGAGACAGTATGACAAATGTACAACAACACACACTGTATATCTCAAAGACAGTCTTTGATGATCATCATTAACAAAGTGTCAGAAATATTCTACCACAAATGGCACATGCCAATATCAGAGCTAATCTGATACATACTGTGATATATATATATATATATATATATATATATATATATATATATATATATATATATATATATATATATATATATATATATATATATATATATATATATATATATGACAACAACTAGCACCTGGCCATTCTAAGAGACAGCATCCGACAATGATTGTAAAACTGTGTTACTGCCCGCCAGGTACTGACCTTTATAGTGACCTCTGTTTGTCTGCTCTCGGCCAACTCTCCTGTGAACATAGCATGGAAATACGGGCTGCAAGCAGAGAGAACCACACGGTGAGCAAAGATTTTCTTTGAGCCAACAATGAGCACCACATCACAAAGCTCTCTGTGCTTGCGTAGCACATTGACCGTGTCGAGCGTGTGCCGTGGGTGTTTGTCTGAGGTATAGCCCAGCCGTGCCGGGGAGGACGGACGCTCTACGGGAGTATCTAATCTGTTCATCTTGGTCGAAAGAAACTGACGACAGTCTGTTCATGTCATGCTGTCACGTTATCATATGAAAAGAACTTAAAAGCCAACACTACTCTAAATCACATTTTCATCATGTCGTCACAACATTTCAATTTTTGTCTCTCATCCTCCTTCCAGCTGCAGTCTCTCATGAAGGAAACTTGTGATGAGAGTCCTCGGTGAAGCAGGAGAGAGTGGCCGTACTGCAACCCTAAAGGAAAAAAAATAAACAATCATAATCACAACAAAAGGTACGTACCATCAATTTTCTGTGAGCAGCATAATGTATTTTATCAAATCACACTTTTACAAGCCGCCCACGCACAACTTTATCCTAGACTCTTATTATAAACTAAAATATCATTCCTCCCACCCCCACCCCCCCCCTCCCCCCTCTTACCGCCAGCACACCATTATTTGCATATATATATAAGTCCCATGAGAAAATTATATTAAATTACTTTGTACATAAGAACACTGATAGAGTAGCAGCACACAGGTTGCATAGTATCTAGACTTACCAGCAGTCAGACATGTACACCGTTATAAATTACTAGATTTGAAATATTTTATTATTTTTAGTTCGAACTATATCTCACTGGCTACTGGGCCCTTTCACCAGTCTCTTAACACTGAATACAGGCATTTTTTGGTGTTATTTCAAAACACGATGACAGAGGGGTATTTCAAAACACCACCACAACTCTCAGAATTACCCTATTGCAATGATTTTTTGACACAAAAGTTTCATTCAAGGTTAATCGAATAAAACAAACAAAAGTAGTCAAAGTCTAATATACTTTTATTCTTATGATTTTTTAAAAAATTGACATGAATTTTATTTCCTAAAAATTGCCAGAGATACATGACAAATGAATGAAATTCACAACAACAACAAAAATTAAAGTTCAAAGTGTTCCGTTTTGTTTTGTATTCACCATGTTATAAAAGCGGGGCTGTACTGTGTGTTGATGCAGACCCATTCACTGAATTACAAAATAGTGTTGGGCCCGAGGTTGTGATTTTGTTGAGCTAACAACTGTGTTACAACTCCAGTACTAGTGCTAGATCTAGCCCTAAATTGCGGCTAAATACGACTCGGACCAGGTTCAGATACATATCCAGGGTCCTGACTATCTGAAGGCAACACCAGAGGACAAAAATTTGGAAGCAAATTTCATAGTTTTGATTAGATAGATTTAGAGCTCTCTGCAAAGCGAGCATAGGTGCAGGCCGCGTTTGGGATCGGGATCCTTCATACCTTGTAAGCCGTGTTATTGAACTAAAGTGTTGGCGTTTCATTAATCATTGGATGAATGATAGTAAGTTATAACTATATTGTAGCTTTTTGTTCAAGACTAGTAGGAAATTTTGAATTTTGCCCGGGTGGCGGCCGAAGCCTACTCTTATCGATTTTAGACCACCAAGGGATCTTTAAAGCGCGCAACTTGCACAACGGACATCGAGATTTTCCGTCCTTTTCTGAGAAGGTTAGGAGTAGATCTTTCCTACCAGATATCAGGGGTATGGCTGAAAGACAGGAGCAAGAAGGAGCCAAGGAATAGCAGTAGAAAGACTGCAGAAAGTCAGGAGCCCAGGGGTGTGGGCAAAGGAGGGTGGGGGCAGAAAGTGGAGACAAAAGCAGATGACAAAACATTGCTAGACAGCAGGAAAGGAGGTGAAAGGAGACTATTTTTGAGACAAACATTTTTCGGTCGCTACCCGGGTTCGAACCCGGGACCTTTGAACGATAGGCGGACACCTTAACCTCTAGGCCACGAGAGACCCCGAAGCAGGCTTTGTGCTGTTGAGGCTAGAGAGGTGAGCTGAGTAAGCCTGATTCCCCGTTTGGACTTCTCTGTTGACATCTACCCCTTGGTGTTTATATGACCGTATTCAGTTGCGAGCGCCGTAAAAACCTTACTAAAACTAAAAGTAAATCTAGCTGCGAGTGAGCGATCGTCCGTCTATTCTCCATTTTGTCGACTGGACTTTGTTGTTGTGTGTTATTTTCGTTTCATATAGTATGTAATAGTAATATGTTTAGTGATGGCGCAAATGAACTCCCTTTTTCGAGATGGTGTGGGGCTTGATGTGCTGGGCAGAAAATTTTTTTCCCATGTAGTAAATTTTTTCAGGATATATTGCTGGACTCCCTGCATATATCATTATTATGTCTGAGATTTGACTTCAGCTATGGGCACCTAGGCTATACAATTTACATGATTCATGATCGTGCAAATTGTGTGCCAAACCTTCTGCCTACTTCATTTCAGCACTACTTGTCAGAAGCTCATCTTTTGCATCTCACTAGATATATATACCTGGATGTTCAGTAGTGAAACAATTTTTAAAATGTGTGCTGAGTGTGCACAAAATTTCTGTGAATTAAGTAAGGGCTCTTTCAACTCTTTGTGCATGTGCTAAGTATCCACCCGAGTTTTGAAACTTGTGGTAAATTTGTACTTTAACTCCTTTGGGTAGTTGCACTGCTATTGGGATCTAAACTGTCATATTTTTGGCTACTATGAGTTCTAGTGACTCCCCCCGAGTGTATCTTTACCAAAAAAAAATAATAATCCCCAGCCCCATTCCGTAGTCCAATACTTTGCAACGCTCAGACTTTTGAATGAACTTTGGCGATCTCAACAAATGTCAATGCTCACACAATGCCGCAGCCTGTCTTGTGGTGTGAACCCGCGCAGGTTCACTGACCGGTCATGGTGGCGAGCCCGACAATCTAAAAATCTGACCACGTTTGTATTTTCTTTTCTTTTTTCCGCTCACAAGTGACAGCACAGTGCAGGGATGTAAACAGGTTTTGAAAAAAAAAAGCCGGAAAATATTTGACGCGCACGTACTGACTGAAATAAGAATACAGTGAGACAAAATTTTATTTGTTTCTTTCCCTCTATTACAACAAATAATCTCTATATATATAGTATATATACATAGCTGCCACTCAGGAGTTTCAAAAAAGGAGGAAATCCATGCGAAGGCATACGCGTGCTCTCCGAAAGCCGGAGTAAAACCAGTGAAATCCAGATCCAATATATTGGAACATCTATGTTTTTGGTGGGGAAAACTGTCATATTTGTTAACTACAGGCAACTGAATTAAAATGCATTTGCAAAAAAAAAAACCAAAACAATCAAAGACACTAAGTTGATTAACAAGCATTTGACCCAGTTTGGAGACTAAAAATCCAGTATTTGCAATCTAGTGTCTCATAAAAAGATTTCTTTCACTTTAGAATTGAGCAACAATGTTGTGGATTAAGGATGCAACACCTTTGCCACTGTAGTACAAAATTGTCTTTCTTGTTAATTGTTTACTTTCTCGCGTTTAATTCCGGATGAGGAGTTCGTAGCGAGCGACCACTCTGAACTCTATGAATGTTTTACTCAATGGCCATCAAAATCAGTACGGAAGGCCGAAAGTGAAAGCCAGTGTGTATGTTACTAGATCTAGATATATCTACCTACAAATGATGAAATAGCCGTGGTTTACGTATTCTTAACTCCAGCGCAAAGAGTTGAATATCCAGTCGGGGATGCATACAGTTTCGTCTAGATTCTAAATTTAGATTTAGACTAGATCTAGAAAATTTAGGCACGGCCGGAATTAAAAGCGAGAAAGTAAACAATTGCCTTCTTACTTATCACATCAAATGCAAAGTGCAGCACTCAGCTTGTTCAATTCTCAAATGAAATTTTGAAAGCACATTGTCTGCCTCTTTCTTAATCCAGCTCCATTTATTTTTGCATTCTGCATCAATTTCTCTCGAATCTCCGCCGTTTTTAATGATAACTCGGCGCGCCATCGTCCCGATGCTCGATCGACAGTCCACAACAATAAACAATGTGAAACTAGGCACAGAACGGAAGTAGAAAGCTACAGGCGGACATGCGCAAGCTGCGTTTTCGTCTCACTCCCGGTTCGGCGATTTCCGAGTGTAAAAAAAAGTATCGCGATTTGCGGCCGAGAGCGGTCCAGTGGAGGAAGGAGGAAAGTAGCGGGAAAAGCTAAATGAAGCAGAGTTTCCACTATTTAGCGGGAAAGTGGCAGCTATGATATAATATGTATTGTTTATGGTAGACTTTTGTTAAAAGCTTGGGCCCAAATGGCAAGTCAGCCGGAAATTTTATTTGCGCGGCGACACAGCGTTTATACTGCACAACCTGCATGTCACAAAATAATGTTGCATTATCAGTTTATCGCTGGCAAATTTCTGGGTGGTAACGAAAGCAAAAGTAGATCTTGATTTTCCCGATCGAGCATTGGTGTCACATACACTTCCACCTGCCACCTGTTCGCATGAAACGTACTCTCGGACGGAGGGGGGGGAGAAGCTGAATGAATATTACAATCGCGACCGGCAAAAATGAACCTAATGACCTTATCGGATTTGGTTTTCAAATATTCGAGTTCCGCGATACTGATACTACTCAACGATCTTTGTACTACATGTACTTTGACAAAAGATGGGACTTGGTAATCGCTGATGACCACGGCTATGACTCTGTACACTGAAAAGTCTTGCTGGCTTCATCACTCAGTACGCAAGCTAATTTACGACCGTTAACCAAATGTTTATTACCTTCACAGTACATTTACTACCATTTACGACCTTTACGACCAGGGCGCCAAATTTACGACTTAACGGCCTTGCTGGGCACCCTGTATGATACTAATTACATCAAAGCAACGGCAGATTATGGACAACATAAATTGAATGTTTCAGAAGTCTGATGAAAGTTTTCAGCGACACAAAAGAACTGTACTACAGGAATCTCCCCTGTGCCTGTACTACTGTCCCCTTCCTCCCCCCCCCCCCCCCACCATGAAGCTGCAGCGAGCACCTAGCACACCTCTGTGATTGGCCCAAATATAGATTACGTAATTCTGCCATCTATTTTTGTCATCTTCCGCTGTTTCCCCAAAGACTCTTGGGTTTCCTTCGCCAGTAACTGTTGACAAGATCTCGCACTGTTTTTTTTTTTTGGTATTATTTATTATTATCTTTTATATATATGCAATCTCAGCAATTCTCGTTCCATAAATTTACCTTCTCCACAAAGTTGTAGTTGTACATACACACACACACCACACACAAGCGCGTGCGCACACACACACACACACACACTGTAAGCGTGCTCGCACATACAGACCAAGCAGTTGGCGATGCCCATCACGCGCTTAACCCTCTAGTGCCCAGGTATAGAAATCATTGACAGAAAAATTTCATTTTCACAGAACATGTTCAAAAGGAAGTACAATAACCAAATTTGAAAGTTTCTTTCATCTAAAACTTGTATTTAAAAAGTTACAGACCGTGCCATATATGGCACATTGGGCATTTGGGTATTATGTGCCAGATATGTCACACTGGGTAGCGTTGAACAAATTTATCATGCTTTCTTGGGTGGAATTCTTCAAAACAGTTTCGCTCCTTGTTCAGACAGAGATGAACCATACACTTCCTTACACATGACGTAGGTCTTTGAGTCACATCTGGGGCGTTTGCATCGTTGCCGGTCGGCATGGAGAAGAAGACAATCCATGCGATCGAGCTGTGAGTCAACAGTTGGGGACTAATCTTCTCTTGAGTGCTAGAGTGTGAGAGAAACTGAGGACTCCCAGCTACAGGTCGTCCCGGCAACCTTTCGACGGTAACCTGACTGTCAGCAATCGACTGAAGGAAGTCACATAGCTTGACTGGGGACTGCTGAAGCATCCTGCAGTGACGACGATATCTCAGCCAACTGGTGACTACCACCATGTTGATTGTGTCGTAGAACAAATAAATGTACCAATTTCGTGTCTTGACTTTTGCTTTGCAGAGAGCGGTGAGACAATCAAGTAAACCTACCCCTCCCCTGTGTTTGTTGTATGTGCGAATTACAGCAGGGCCATTCACTGCAGTTTTTTCCTTCAGTCTTTTGTCCCACCCGGTAACATTCTCAACAGATTCTGGTCCAACATATATGACGAAATGACATCCACTTTCTTGTTGTCGTACCATCGAACGACGACGATATTGGAGTCTGCATCCACTAGACTCTGCCGTCAACCTTTCAAGAGGTTTTCATGGACGGTTCCCACTTATTGCAGTCCTTTCTCCTTCAACTGTTTCACCATGTTAACGCTCGAAAAGTGGTTGTCGGCAAACATTTTGTAATTCTTTCCCTCCTCCAAGTTCTTCACCATGTCCATGACAACATCCCCTCCCATGCCTAGTTCAGATCTACGAGTATGAGCTCCATTTGAACCTTGATACACATCAAAGTCTTGCAGAGTGCCTTCACTTACGCAACAAGCCCACAACTTGAAACCTCATTTGTGGGGTATTTTCCGAATGCATTGTTTCAGACTACACCGACCTTTGAAAGATACCATAATTTCATGAACAAACTGATGCTAAGACGGAATAATCTTTGTGAAATTGGATTTTAGATCATTGATCCACGGACGGAGTTTCCATACACGATCATTGCTTGTGCTGTCATCATGAGTCTCATTGCTGACAAGATGCAATCGTTTCAAGAAAAAAAATAAGTACTGGTAGTGTGTGTTTCACAGTTTGTACAAATACACTTGAATAGAGAAAAATAACTTTATGAACCCTTACATACAGTCTTTAGAAAGGCTGTTTACTGCATGTACTTACACTGAAATGAAGTCAATCTGCTTTTTTATTTTTCCAGTCAACTTGAACTTTTTGACATTTTACATTGAAACAGGACTATGTGATAAAAATCAGGACTCAAATGCCCAATGTTCCACATCTGGCACAAAAAAACGTCCAGGGCTGCCCAGTGTGCCATATTTAGACCATACCTAAAAACATCCCCATAAATCAAAATGTAAATATTGAACATGGAATTTGAAGGTGATAATATCTAAATCTACTTTGTTTCAAAACATATATTAGGAAAAATTGACAAAATTATGTACCTGGCGGTTGATGGTGATAGACTGAAGAAGAGTGGGTGCGGTTGTCTGTTTCAAGCACAAGTGGTGGTAAAAAACAGGAAGTTGAAAGGGGAAATTATTGCAGAAAAAAATCACCCAAAGGCACTCAGAGGATGATTCTCCAGTTACCTACCTCATGAAATTACCGAACATAACAAAAATTAATTACTCTTTCCCCTGAAGCTGGTCATTTGACATGTGCCAGATATGGCACTGTGGGCACTAGAGGGTTAAGTGCAACAAAGCGGGCCCGCCATGGTGAGATTTAATCAACTGGCAAGGGAAGCCCCAGAAGACTACAAAAATAAATGGTGGAAATACATCATCTATATTTGGGCCAATCACAGAGGTGTGCTAGATCTAGATCCAGGTGCTCGCTGGAGCTTAAGGTAGACTTAGATCTAGATCTAGATCCACTTTAGTTAGGTTGAAAGTTAGAGAATAAATAAACAAATAAATTCTACAAATCAAATCTCTAATGGCTGTCGTTATTCTCACCCAGGGTGAAAATAAAAATATAATATTATTCTCACCCGGGGTGAGAATTAATAATAGTAGACTCTATATATTGTTATTCGGGTGAGAATAAAATGAAATATTCTCACCTGATCTGAGAATGCAATGGATTTTTATTCTTAGGCCTACCAGGGTGTTGAGAACGTGTAGGACTGTAGGCCTAGCTAGATCTAATAGGATGATAGAAAACAATTGTGAACTGTAAGAGTGACCTTTCGTGAACTGCCCCCAGAGGCTCCCGTGAGGATTTTTATTGTTTCATTTTTTATTTTTTTTTGAGAGTATGCACGCATAGATCCGATCTTCACCAAAACCGTAGACAAGTGTGTTTAAAATAATCGAAATTAAATGAAAACTTAAATGAAATGATGTTAGGTCTAGATCTAGTAATAGTTAGTAATAGTTTGTCATTGTAATGTTAGAATTGGCATTTGTTTACAACACAAAAAACACGTTATCCCTTACAGAACCCACAAGTATTTTTAAGTAGGCACACAGTGCCTTGACCCAAGGCTTATTTTTTTCTTAATTTTGATTAGTTCAAGAGTAAAATTTTCCTTTGCAGAACCAATAAATAGCAACAAAAGGTGACGCTATTTGCTCAAAAGATAGATTCTAAGTATTTCCCCCAAATCGACAATAGATCTTAGTCACCTCCCGCGCTCGAGAGCTGGACCGCCCGTTGGCGATTGTAGTCGCCTCGCACGCTCAGCGGAGTGATAGAAGGAGGTGAGTTTTGTTGCTGCAGCGCTCAGTGACAGGGGTCCTTAGATGATGCCCGAAACGAAATAAAGTGGGCGGAAATTAAAAAAAAACGGGTGAGAATAGTAGGCTGTCGTTATTCTCACGTTGAGAATAGTATCAATTTTATCCTCACACTAAAAAGTCACACTGGGCTGACTGGGTGAATAATCATTCTGCTATCTTATACTAGATTCTAGATCTAGATCTATAATCTAGATCTAGATCTAGATCTAGATCTAGAGAAATCTAGATTCTAGATCTAGATTCTAGATCTAGATCCAGATTCCATACTGCAAGAAGTCTGCATACTGACTTTGAGTACTGTGTGAGTGTGACAACCATTGATTTAAAAAGGTCAGATAGTTGAGTCAATTCATTGGGTCGATGAAGTTGAGTTTGATTGAGTCACTCAGACTCAGTTCCGACTCAGAGACACAAGTAGATCTATATCTAGATCTAGATTCTAGACTCTAGAGAGTCTAACTACTCGAATCTAAGTTGATTATTCGCTCCAGGTCTCATTTCTTAGATATTCCTATTGAACAAGATTAAAAGCTTTTCATCAACACATGGCTATGTAAAAAAATGTTAAATTTTCATGGTCCAAGTAAGATGAGCTTACCCTAAGAACTGACTCGGTGAAACAATCAGAAGTCTCAACTCTCAACTAATCCTAAAATGGTAAACAAGCTAGCATAATACTCGTTTCCGGTTTGCTCAACAAAAAACTTTTCCCTGAGGCCAAACTCATATACATACAGAACAAAACATAAGAATATTGCTTAATAAACAATTTTCCTTAGTTGTTAAAAGCAACCTAAAATTTTTAGAATAGTATGTGAAGCTTTTTTAAAATAAAAATATGTTTGACTGCTTTAATGAAAAAAAAAATTTAATTGTTACGTATCACACTCTCTGAAGTTTGGCGTATTTTACTTCCAATAATCTGTCCAATAGAAAGGAGTTTGACAAACCATCTTTGGCACGAATCTGTTTAGGGGGCAACTAGATAATGGCAGCTTAGATGACAATCTAGACTGTGTTTTTCATTTGATCCCCCCACTCAAGTTAAATTATAGTTTTATTCGTGCAATGGCTCTTGAAACTGAAAATGCTCCCGAAGCGGAGGCAGAACCTGGATCTCGAAATGAAGGAGAGGAAGAAGAAGAGACTGAACAGCTTCTGCCCGACACAACGATTGTTACACACTGCATCTACAAGAACGATCCACAGAGACTTGTCAAGTAGTTACAGTTTGTCCTTTTTTTTAACCAAACCTCATGTAGAACTATGGGAGGAATTAAAAATTGTCCACCATTTAACGCAGGTATCTCTAAATACTGATACTGTATAAATCATAAGGAAGGCAGTTCCAAATTTTTTTTAAAGGGTACGTACACATGACACATAGATCTAGATCTATGCACATTTCATTATTTCATGCCCATGCATCATCATTTATAGGCCTACGGACAAACCAGTGTAAAATGGCCACCCATTAGGCTTAGACTGTCGTAAAGCTAATTCAAATTGGCCTGGGGGGGGGTCGAAAAAGGGGGTGGGTAGTGTAGTAAGAAGGGTTTTTTGTGTTGTTCGGGGTTTTTTGGGTAGCTATACAGACCGTCTATAGCTTTCTTTTTGTTGCTGATTTTGTGCTAGCGTAAAATAAATGAAATATTATGTAAGAGCTGCAACACAATGAAGAGTGAGTGCCATATGGTAAGACAAACACACCAGTCGCCATCACTCGGAGAAAGAGTGACGCTTCTGTTTGCAAGTTCACGTCAACGTCCATTCTTTGTTACAGACTGGGTAAACAAAACAATTGCAGTTACCTCATATACGATTTGTTCATGAGTTGTGGGTGGGGCTTATTAGTTATGACGGATCACACGCTTCCCTCACCAGCAGTTGAAAATGTATTGTTAGGCCTATTGACCCATTGGTCAACTTGGGTAAACATTCATTGGAGCGACTAACACTGTCGACAGGTGAATGAATTATGATGACCTGTCCACAACATGAGGGGCTGATTAAAAATTTATGACAAAGCGTCCGGCAATGAGTGACCACGCTTGGCCGTCTCAGACAGTTAAATTTGACCGTGGGTTGATAAAATAAGGTGGCCGCGACCGCAGTGGACAGGTGACCATTTACATTGTTAAATTATATAGAAAAAACGCAGGGGGAGGGGGGGGAATAAAAAGTGGCCGTTTGTACAGGTGACCGTATCATACAGTGGCCGTCATGGCAGGTTCAACTGTACTACGTTCAAAACTGTAATTACCATATATGTTCAGTTTTTTGGGGGGATGAGGAGCTGAACCCCATTATCCCTCCGGCCCCAGGCATTTTTTGTGGGTTTTTTCGTGTCAAAAAGTCTACGTAGTTTTATGGTCATGAAGGGTATTGTACAACAGTCTTTATTGCTCCCTTTTGTAATAATTAGAAAATGTGTAGACAGAATTCATGTGCAGAAATTTATGTTTAGAGTAGAAAGAAGCTGATGTGCAATTTTAAAGAAAAATAGAATCTGCTTAATATTGGGGTGGGGGATTCTAAAAAAATAAGATAGTGACAATTTAGGTGAGTTAAGCAACTTTAAATAATTTATTCTCTGCCATAAAACATATGGCTCTCAACTGTTAAGTCACTGAGAAGGGTGAATCATTTGGAATTTCTTCCATAATTAGTGTCCAAAATATAGCAGTTTCTGCCTAAAATCCCAGTGCTTTTGGGGTAAGGAAAATGCAGGATTATAGGTGAATGGGATCGACTAAGCCTATTCACGAATTAAGGGATTATCCAGGGTGACTCTATCTCACAGTTCAGGCCCACAATTTGGTGAAATGACCTCCCCTTACTCTGAAATGTACTGACAGGCCCCTGGGTGGATTTATGTTCTAGGGCAAGCAAAAAGTAATCTGCCTTGATGACCAATCTCAATGGCACAAGGCATACAATTTTCACTTATCCAATCATGAATCCCAAGATCTATATGCACCCTGTTGCTCCTTCTCTATATTTTATAGCTTTTCATCTCTTAACAAGCCCCCCTCCCCCCTTCCCTTTTTTTTCTGTCTTTGTGACCTCACTAATTTTTAATGATTAAGTCTGTCTATCAAATTCGGGTGCATAGATAATTGTTGGAATGGTCAGAGAAGAAGCCAAAGCACCAAAGAGTTCACAGCTTGATGCGATCCTGTTTGATGTGGACTTGTAGGCCCTACCCACTCAGTTTGTAACAGGTGGAGTCCTTTGATATGAGTGCAATGTTTGGGGAAAATAAAGTGGCAATGAGTTCACACCACCGTTTTACCATTTCATCGAGATTTACGACGGAGCTGTGATCAGATTCACGATAATACATGATCTGTGATGCAATGATTGGTAAACAAAAGAGTGACCAGTTACATCAGTTATTGCACATTTTCACAGCTTGGTTGATCAACTGCATCCACTCGGGTTTTTGCTCCAGATTTTATCATCTGAAATGTAGGATCTTTGCTGAATATAATCCTCCAAACCAGGATCTTAGGGGTGACTTTTGTCTAATAGAAATTATGTTCTCTTAAAATAGCAGGATCTTAAGCAAACCAGGATTGTAAGTGGTGAGATTTAAGGTGGAGACTACTCTACAAGCAAATGATTAGTGGGGGTTTTTTTTTTACATTTCTCCTTTTGTGCCCATTGACATTCTGCTCTTAATTATATGGGTAGACTCCTGATTGGTTATACGCTCTAACCAATCAGTTGATTAGCCATATATCTGTTTACAGGGAAGATACTGAGTCTGTTTCCTTAGCTCAAAAGGACTCAATTATGCTGGGTTAGCCATGTCGTAAGAATGCCTGATTCCAAAGTCCCAAATGCAGTTTTTTTTATTCTGAGCGGTCGTCAGCTCACCAAAAAAGCATGACAAAGACACTCTGAAGGGACCCTGAAGGACCCTCTACATTAATCCCTTGACTTGAGAAGAGAGCCTAGCTCCTCGTAGACCCATCTGGAGAGCAACAAATCATATATACGAATATGAAATGCTGAAGCCAAGAGAGAAATCCACAAGCTGCGCACTTCCACAAGTGGAAATGAAGCTTTTACTTGATCAAAATGTGGCAAACTTTTCTCTGCCAGATTTGGTCTCACTGGTCATAACAGAAGCCACCTGTCATCATAATCCTTATTTTTTCTAATTTGCGTAAGATATGTTCTCTTTTCCAGACCAAATGCATAAACACTTACAAACAAACAAACATCTAAGCAGTAACTTACTCTGCTAAATTTTCACTAGTTCCAAGTGTATAGGATTTCACTAATGCCTTAAGGCTACAACTGGGTTTTCTCCCAAATCTGTACTGAATGAATTTCATTACTATTTTTCTTTTTCTTTTTTCTTTTTTCTTTTTCTGGATCATCTATCAGAAATATTGTATTCATGTTTTCTCAGGCTAATGTAAAAAATGTTGTGTATTTTGTCTTGCAGGTGTTTTGAGGATGACACAGATCCATATAAAGAAGAGATTGCAGAGCTGCTTAACGAGAGAGACGATGACGGGAAATCCCCACTAGATGTCGCTGCGTGTTTGGGCAGGATAGAACTCACGAGAGAGCTGCTTCACAGAGGTGCTGACATCAACGAATTTACCCAAAAAGGTCAGGAATCAAAATTATGTGTTCACAAAGCTGACTTTTATTTTTCATTCTAATGCTAATAACAAAAAGGCCTACTGAAGAATGGCTTTAATGTGAACGTTGTCATGTAGGTGACATTGTGAAAATGTGTTCGTTAAATGCGTTAAGGGCATGCTCAAATTTATGTCATTTTTGTGATTATTCTGCCTGTCATCAGGCCTATCTATCTATCTACAGACTACTTACATTTTTTCCCATCCATCCATCCATCCATCCATCCATCAATCCGTCCTTCTACAGATGACTTATATCTACATTTTGTCCCATCTATTTACCTACAGACTACTCATGTTTACATTTTATCCAATCTATCTATCTACAGGCTACTCATGTCTACATTTTATCCAATCTATCTATCTACAGGCTACTCATGTCTACATTTTGCTGCGGCCTGGGGTCGGCTACCAGTCCTGAAACTACACATCGAGCACGGCGGTAACCTGCAACAGCGGAACACCCACGGCGAGCGGCCGCGAGAAACGGCCATGAGATACACACAGGGAGTGTGGCCGCGAGAAACGGCCATGAGATACACACAGATGGAATGTGTGGACTATTGTGTCAATTTGTATGTTATTATTGTCTGTTCAAGAATCTTTTAGATTTATATATATATATATATATATATATATATATATATATATATATATATATATATATAATATGATATAAATAAATAAGCGCGCTCATATGACCTTAGCAGTTGCGAGCGCCGTAAAACCTTATACTACTACTACTACTAAATAAATAAAATAATATCAATAAATAATGTTTTTTAAAAAAATAGAAAAACAAAAATATATATATATGCATAATTTTACTTCTGACACAAGGCAACCTCACTGCCTTCAGTTGCAAATATCTCATTTCTATTCAAAATAGGCAGGATTTCTGTGTTCTCTCTCTTTCTCTCTCTCTCTCTCTCTCTCTCTCTCTCTCTCTCTCTCTCTCTCTCTCTCTCTCTCTCTCTCTCTCTCTCTCTCTCTCTTTTAATCTTCCGTCTCTCTTTCTCCCCCCCTCTCTCAATCACCTATTCCTCTCTTTTTAACACATGTCTCTCTCTCTATCTCTCTCTCTCTCTCTCTATCTCTCTCTCTCTCTCTCTCTCTCTCTCTCTCTCTCTCTCTCTCTCTCTCTCAATCACCTGTGTCTCTCTTTTTAACCTCTCTCTCTGAGTGTGTGTGCCTATTTAACCCTAACCTCCTCTCTGCCCCCCTCACAGAGGCCAAAGCTATGCTCCAGGAGTGTATCCGCACCACTCAGGAATCCATCACAGATGCCGACAAGGCAGTGGCTGGGAGAATCACAAAAGAAGAAAGAGTAAGTTCCCAGACTCACTCTCCCTCTGCCCCCCTCCCCCCTCCCTCTCTTACTCTCTGTCACTTTGTGTCTGTCTGTCTGTGTGTGTCTCTCTCTCTGTCTCCCTCTCTCTGTCTCCCTCTCCGCTTCCCCCCACCCTCTCTCTCTCTCTCTCTCTCTCTCTCTCTCTCTCTCTCTCTCTCTCTCTCTCTCTCTCTCTCTCTCTCTCCCCCCCCCCCTTGCCTCTACCTCTCCTTCTCCCCTCCCCTCTCTCTAATACAACACTCATGATTTCTTCAGTCTCACTGTAAAGCATCCACATACCAGAAAAAGTCAACACCATAACCAGTATGACAGTTATGTATGAATAAGAAATGCTTCAGCTGTTTCTTGAAAATGTGAATACTGGGGGGTACTTCGTATTTTATATGGAAGATTGTTCCATATACTGGGGGGCACTTCGTATTTTATACGGAAGATTGTTCCAGATACTGGGGTGCACTTCGTATTTTATACGGAAGATTGTTCCGTACATGGTGACCAAAGTAAGCCAAGTAACACTCACCGTACATCCAATTATAATTTATAGTTTTTGGGGTTCTAAGGATTGATTTGTTTTTTAGCTGATGTAAGAACTTTGCAGAGATGATATAACTTCAGTTTTTTTTAAATGTTGGTGCAGTATCTTTGAGACATTTATGATAATTATAACAGCAAAAAGCAGCTTTCTATTCGATCCTCTGTTTTACTGAGAGCCAGTGGTTTTGTTGTTTTGGGGTTTTTTTTAGAATGGATGTTACGTGCTCCGATACATTCCCTTATCTCTGACGGAATGTATAGTTTTATACCTCGTTTATAGTATATTTTTATCTCTTACAGAACTTGCTCCGATACATCTCCTTATCTCTGATAGAGTATATAGTTTTATACCTCCTTTATGTATCTTTATTTCTTACAGAACATTGCCTTAAACACCTGCAAAGAGAAGCAGGAGTGGTTAGACAACAGCCCAGAGCCCACCACCCAGGACTTCCTGTCTCATCGCGTGGCTCTGCTGGAGATCTGTACGCCCGTCGTACAGAAATTGAGCGAACCCCGTAAGTCTGATGAGATGTTAGTATAGTGAACAATATTTAAGTCAGATGAGCGGTTTACCGCAGAGAGCACACCCCATAAGTCATGTGGTGTTAATTTTCCCCCCAAATCTGCATTTCTGGAACTGTGCAGATTTTTGGCTGGATTTTAACTCATTCGCTACATTGGGGGCCACGCGCCTAAAATGCCGTCAGTACGCTAAGCCGTCCCCGGCGGCTCGAGAACCGATCTTCAATTTTAGCTTAGATTCTATTCCAATCCACATATCCATGTTAAAATAAAGGTCAAAATATAATGTTGACTTCCGGGTCAAGCATTTCCACTGAAAATCGGAAATTTAGATTCAGTTTTGAAATGCAATTTCGTAGTTTATTCGACTTTGTTTTATCGCAATGCCAAAATTATAGCCCGGACACCAGTCATAGTAATTTTACGCAACAAAATCTATCATTATTTTGCCCACTAAAGAAATGTAGGACTCTTTTTTATAATATTGATACAATTGGACTCATATTGCCAACGCACTGTTATTGAGAAATCAATATTTTTGAGTGCTAGATCTAGGTCTAGATCTAAATTGTCAAAATATTTTTTTCTCCCCAAAATCACTACTTTTTGATGAAATTACACAAAAAGTGCCACTCAAGACATGTATAGATTTATTCCAAATGCAATTCTGAATAACTCCATATAAGATACGAGTGGGTTTTTTCTGATTGTGATCGTTTTTCAAGATTATACTTTTTTTTTTTTTTCAATATCAGATGTTATGATCTAAATGTACAAATATTATGGAATGTACGTAAATAACTGCAAACTTTTCAATATTTTCCAGTCCTATATTCTTTTATGGTTATTTTGATGTTTCATTTGGCTAGATCTAGTTGCAAACGTATTTTTTGAGTTTCACCAAAGATTATTAATTTTTTATTTTCAAATTTTATCCGCATCCAATCAAAATTGTGTTGCATAATCTTAGAGGAACCAAAGTTGAAAAATACATAAATAAACATTACAGATGTATTCTATAAACCAAACTGAAAATATTGGTATATAATACATTGATATTTATTTGAATTTGTGGCCCCAAAGACCTTTTAACTGCCCACTAGTCATCATCTCATTTGCCCTCCCGAAAAAAATTCGTCCACAAGCCGAAAATAATACGTAGCAAATGAGTTTAAAAAGTGTGAATACAAGATGTATTACAAAATACGCGTGTGTGCCCAGAGAAAGGGACAAAAAGTCGTCCCATATCGTTTCAAGCTACAGGCTGGATAAGTAAAAAAATTAATTTTTAAAAATTAAAACGTGTTTCCATTTTTTTTTAAAAACCAGATCACCATTTTTTAACCATAATTGAAGAGGATGTTATTTTATTTGACTTTTAAGTATTTTATCAGGAATTATTTTGATGGTAAGGTATTTCTTAGATAATTGAAAATGGCTTTTTACAATTGACTTAAATCGATGCTTGGGGTCTTTCTCCGCTTGCCCAGCCTTGCACTTCAAGTATACTTGAACCTCATCATGTTGTAATATGTATATTAAAAAAATGTATACCAAAATGCTCACTCACTGGGACTTCCCCTACACTATAAATAGCAGCGCGCATAAATGTTTATGTCTGCAAATGAATAGCGCTTCTACGCATCCCTACTCTATCTGCCGTTTTGATGTCTTCAGGGTGTACTGTGTTCATAAAACGTAACACTTTACAAAACGTGTGGTAACTCAAAACTACTTGGTATTTGAAAAATTATAAAATTCTCTGTGTTCAACATTAAATTTTCAATCAAACCAACCACAAATTTGAAATTTTTGATCCAAGTCTGACTTTTGGTGCCTTTCTTTAGGCACACACGCTTGATCTGTAAATTTTGAGTCCCAGCGCTGTGTTTGAATGGGCTCTAAAAAGCTCAGAATCTTTTTTCTTACACACTCCGTAAGTCTGATAAGATGTTTACCGAAGTACACGCTCAGTAAGTCTGATAAAATGTTGACTGAAGTGCACACTCCGTAAGTCTGATGAGTTGTTTACTTAGCAATCTCGTGTATAGAAGAGTGTTATATACTGATATCATGTACAAGTGAATCTCCCATATAAGGGAGCCTCACATTCTCAGATACAAGAGAATCTCATGTGCAACAAGGGAATCTCATGAAATCTCGTGTGCAACGAGGGAATCTCATAAATCTCATGTGCAACAAGGGAATCTCGTGTGCAACTAGGGAATCTCATGAAATCTTAATTGTGTACAACGAGGGAATCTCACATACAAAGCAGTCTCATGTACAACAAAGGGATCTCATAAAATCTCATGTAAAAGGCAATCTCGTGTACAAAGCAATCTCATGTATAATATCAGGTGAAACAAGAGAATCTCACATACAAGACAATCTCACGTACTACAAGGGGATCTCATGAAATCTCATGTACAACAAGGAGATCTCATGAAATCTCATGTACAACAAGGGGATCTCATGAAATCTCATGTAAAAGGCAATCTCATTTACCAAGCAATCTCATGTACAACAAGGGGATCTCATGAAATCTCATGTAAAAGGCAATCTCATGTACAAAGCAACCTCATGCATAGTCTCATGTGCAAGAGAATGTCATGTACAAGAAAACTTCATGTTTGAGCTAACAGGTCATGAGGACTGGAAAGGGAATCTCACATTCCTTCCCATAGTTGTCTGTTAGTTGCAATCTAAGAATGGTTTTTGTGCTTTTGCACCATTTTAGACAGCTCGCGGTCGAGTCTGAAGAAAGGAAGATAAGTAAGTGGATGTGAGTGGAAACTTTGTTAGTGGTTTGACGTTGATTTGTTTCAAATTGTTTTGGTGTAGATTTCATGTTTATCTGTGGGTGTGATGATCCAGTGTCATTTAGTTGATTCTGTGATGTGTACAAATTCTAGTTCTGATTTACCCTGTCTGCTGCATTTTGTTTTATTTGCTGCTGACATTTTGATTTTGTTCTTCTCTGTTAAGCTGCTGGTTTCTTTTGATTATTGATTGAGTTTTCTTTTCCGTAAACCTTTAGACTTATTCCAGTGCAATATTAGCAGAGTGTTTATCTTTTGGTTATTTGAAAAAATGAATAGGTACAATCTATTGCTTGTAAACCCATCGCTCAAATGATTGTTGTTCTTTGTCACTCAAGGAACCTTTGAACTCCATTGACGATCTGTCATGAGTGAGCAGAGTTTGCGTCTGGGGAAAAAATTAGATCTTGTCGTCATGATTAAGTCTTTGTCTTTGTTCTGTATGGTGCTGTCAACATGGGGGCGAAGGAAAGAAGGGATTTACTGGTTTGACATTTCAGTTTCTGTGTTTAGATAAATGAAGGTTGTGGGTGTGAAGACATTTTCAAGTCAGTGGTTACAGTACCTATGGTATACACGGGAAGACATCTTCTACTTGGTTGTAAAAATTCCTTTCTCTTGTTGCTACTGTAATGTGTTAACTTTCCCACTCCCTTCTGATAGTCTGTGGGCCTATATGGGTATTTGTGCACTTTTGGTTCATTCTGTAGTCTTGTAGAGCAGTAGAATGTGTTCTCAATATAATCGCATCTTCCACCAGGCAAGGTGAAAAAAAAGTCCCCAGTCAAAATTCTTGTCATGTTGATATTTCTGACCAGGATTTGTTAAAGTATCAGTCCTCAAAATCATCGGCATGGTAGCATCTTTCTAATGTTACAAGAATCAAAAGTTGGACAATTCTGTTAATATATTATGCAGTCAAACCTGCTCTAAAGGTCACCTCGCCAAGACAATCATTTGTGACATGATCACTTCCCACTTTCTTGCCTGGCCCATTTTTTTTCATTATAATGACATTGTCCAAGACATCCACTCATCTCTCTAAGGCAACCACTTTTCTCCTCTACAAATAATGGTCATCTGGGACTATCTTGACTACTGTAGTTTGATATCAATGCAGACTTTGAAAAAAGATTGTGCATTCAAGTAACTTCAAGGTTTGCTATATTTTCATATCCCCCCCCCCCCCCCCCCCCCCAACAAATTGCTGTTATTTTTGCTTTGATCTCTTGTTCTTCCTCCTTTGGATTGAAAAAAAGTTTTGGTGTGTCTGTCATTTAGTATATGAGTGTATAGGTATGTTTGTGTTTTTTGTAAGTTTATGTTTTTGTATGTTTGTTAAATGGCAAAGGTAGAGTCTGTTTTTATTTGTTATTGTCCTATCTCTTTTCTTGTCATTATTTATTTATTTATTTGTTCTTGTTTTGTTTTGTGTTTTTGTTACATTCATTGGTGCCCTATGTCAAATTATGTACATTACATAGTACTTGTAGTATGTACCTTAATGTATCAGGATTTACACAGTTCCTTTTTCAGTATAGGTCTAGTTGAGGTCTCCCTTCTTGAAAAAAGTTAAAATCATTTTACCGCTTGTCATCATGGATACTTTTATAAATGTTGGTGCCACAGAGAGTGGAGACCCCAGGTTTGTGTAGTAGGTCAAGTAAGTTCCGAATGGTGATCTCTACTAGACTTGCCCCTTTCTTTTTATGATTTATGCCCTAGTCACTTTTCGATTAAACTGGTTAAGGACAAACACAAAATAAAAAGCCTTATACTTATAGTAAATACTCATTCAATCAATAGACGTACATTCCTTTAGGCTACTCTCTTGGGAAATTGTACTCACCACAGATTTGTAGACTACTCCGTGGGTGGTTGGAGGGTGCTCTGGTAGGTTGCTCCTTCTTTCCTATCAAACATCAATCGTCCTTATCTCCCCTCCTATTTTGTGTTTGTTACTCTCTTGTAACAGCTTTAATCTTCAGCACTTATATGACCTATTGCGTTTCAAGTGCCGTAAATCTCTACAAAAACTAACTGTAGACTACTCCTAAATTGTGCGCTGTCATGGCCTCCGCTCTGTCCTCTCTACAAAAACTTTGCTGCAAAATGCTCACACCATAGGCTTCACCATTACACCCAAAGGTCAGAACACCAGTCTCATTCTATTATTATAGCCAAGTATGCATGTCGCATTCCCCCTTTGCCTTTTGTTTAGCCCCAAATTGAGTCAGATGGGGCACTTGATAATAAACCGGAAATACATCCGAGTGCTTGGTCTAGGATATTATTACTTTCTATACAAATCTATGGTACCTACAAACCGAGCAATGCGCGTGTTCCAATCACCAGGTATAAATAAGGGGCTGTATTTTGTATTTACTTTTTTTTTCATTGTCTACCCTTGCTAGGACAATCTTGTACTTCTGGGGGTTTGGGGTTGTTTTTTTTTAAAGAGTTTACCTTGCTCTCAACACTCGAGGCGGTGGGTGGTTGGCGGGGGCTCTGATGTGGTTTGCTTCTTCTTTCCTATCAAACATCTATCGTCCTTATCTCCCCTTTTTCTGTTTTATGTTTGTAACTCTCTTGTAACACCTCTAATCTTCTAATGCTCATATGACCTTATGCAGTTGCGAGCACCGTAAAGCCTCTACTAAATTAAAACTAAAACTAACGCTCCAGGCTCAGTCCTGTCATAGGGAGACGAGAAATGCTACATTGGTTGGAGATCCCCGATCTCATGCAGGCTCACTCACATACACTGAGTTGAAAGTTGTTTCACTTGTTACCTCACCATACTGCTACAGTAGTGTTTTGGGTTTCTTACACAAAAATACTTTCAACCAAATAATGCAAAAGTGTACTGTATGTTTTGTACGTGTACTCGAATTCAGGCATACTTGACCCTACAATGTTTTTGTTGTGAGCACCCAATTATTTGGAATGAGCAGCCAACTGTGTTTCTGTGTTGCTATTTGAGATAATCAGAGTTGTTTTTTGTTGTGTGTTTTTTTTCTTTCAAGCCCCTGAGAAAGGTTCAGCTGTAAGTGGAAAGTTTGCTAACTGTGATTCATTAACCCTTTGCTTGCAGAGCTTAACCCTCCTGCGTGAAAACACACAGAAATGTTAATAGAAAAGGGTCAAGGTCATTCACTTATCTTGTTGAAATGTCTTACAGAAAAGCAAAAGATTTTAATGGCTGCATAAAGTGATGTGGTAGCTAGAATAAAATTCTTCATGTCTTTTGATTAAATTAACAAATTTTGTTTAAATCTACTACAAATTGTAGTACAATGTATTTCTTGCTGATGTATTTTATTAGTTAAGGAGAAACAGAATTGGAGCAGCAGTAAACTTGTTGAAAACTACACTTATATAATTTGTCTGTGTTTGTGTGTGTGTGGACGTGTGTGTGTGTGTGGGTGAGTGGATCGGTGCGTGTGTGGGTGGATGGATGTGAGAGTGTGTGTGCTGTGTTGCAGCTGAAGGAAAAATTCTTGATACCTCTTCAATTTCTGGACATTTTTATTTCTTTTTTTGTGTCATATTTTCATAGCGTCTGTATTTGGAAAGAGGATAAAGAGGATGATTACTTTTTAAATTTTAAGACAATTAAAGGGGGGGGGGGAATCAATGTTTTTCTATAACAAACTTTGGTAAGCTCAAGGAAATTCAGACTTGAACAGTTGGCAATAATGACAACATTTATTTCTAGTTGATGTTTGATGACTGACTTATTTGAGTGTGCCTGAACCATTTATTGCTCCCATTTTTCGTGTCCTGAACACGCGTTCAAAGATGTCAAAAGTTTCTCAGCAATTGGTAATAGATTTTCTTCCCTGATCACAATACTGAAGCATACAGTTGTCAGTGGAAGAACTGAGGAAAGGGGAGGGGTAGGGGTTTCTTTCTTGAATATTCAACAAGTTGTTGTATTGGGTGTTTGTGTATGTTTGTCTTATTCATAAGTTATTGTTTAAGTTTGGATGCTCCGTCAGCTAAATTGGTATCATGCTGGATTACAGAGCAGATGGCTCTGGTTCAAATCCCTAACAAGGCATTCTGAAATTTTAGAGAGTTGTTTAATTCAAATGTCCCGCCTCTTAAATAACCATACAACTTACTGTGCTGAAACTATACAATTTCATCATGTACTTTTTTTTTTAATTTCTTTTTTTTTTAGGGGGGGTGTTTTTTGTTTTAGTTCTAAGGGTCCATAAGTCCCTAATCAGACCTCAGATCCCTTGTTTTCATATATATTTGCTAATGTAGAAATAAATCAGTCTCATAGTGATGCCAAATCTTACATTCAGAGAAAAGCTGTAAATTTCTGTGCAAATGACACATGGAAAGGCTTGATGCACCATATTGTGGTCTGATCAGAACGTTTGAAGTTGTGTGAGTGAAGAAATGAACACATGTGGTCAGTGTGGCATTTCCAAATAGGCTTCTGCTCTAAATTCTCTAGTCAAACTCATTCTTGTTGGGTTGGGATTTTTTGTTGAGGGTTTTTTTGCTTGAAAGTCTGGGGAACGTGATCAAGTAGGCATGAAAAAAAAAAATCAGGAATCACTGTATGCTGGAAGTAAATTGTAAGTTTCCTGATGAAATGTTTTCATGTTACAGGCCAGGCCGAGGTCTAAAACCCGATCCAAATCTGGCAAGAAGAGTGCTGGTCCACAGTTCAATGTAAATAAAACGTAGAGCTATGTAATAACATATTGAATGATATTGTGTACTCAACTCACCAAAAGCTTCTATAGCTGGGGCTCTTGAGCGTTTGTTTCCTAACCAAAAATTGGTCGGAGTAAAGGAAAGCACACTGACATTGACAAAATAACAGTCATTTAGTATGTTCGGAAAAGTAAGACGGATAGACAGAAACAACAGAGTGAAAGGAAAGGAGTAGGACCTACCAGTGGTGCCTTCCAACCACCCGCTCCCAAGTTTGGTGTAGCAATAAGCTGTTACTGGAGAACTTACTGGCAATACACGGTCCTGTATTGTGAACACTTGTAGTTGTTGTGGTACCACAGAGTGTACAGGCCCTATGCCATTCTGTATTATTATTAACACTTCGTCGCCTTAGAACTGTCTTGTCCAAAGTGTACATAAGTACAGAGGCACTTTGGACTAAATAGTTCTGAGGCAGCGACTTGTTATAGTGATACCAGAGAGTTTACAGTCGGTACCCCGTTCCTTAAACACTTCTTCACGAAAACACCGCCCCTGTGCTGATAACTGTTATAAGGCTCTTCTCTCAGTACACCAGCCTTGTGCTGGTAATTTTTAGGCTCTTTGCCATTTTCCATTTCACTAATTCCAGGCGGAAGACATGAGTTGAATTCACGTGTGGGGGAAGTTCTTTTCATGGAGTATCGCCATCTGTCTTCAGAGATGCTGTAACCCCCTCCCACTCAGCCCACGTTTGCCCCTGACAGGCAGGGTCGAAGAAGCCTGACTTCTATTTAAATGATCTCAAATTAAAATGTGTCGATGGAAATGCAAACCATTTACAAACTCTCAGTAGCACTGGATTACCCACTGGAAAGAAAAATTACATTTTTTATTCAGTGTCAAAGATTGTAAAGGGTTAGGGTTTGATAACTATCAGACTTTTGCTAAAACACAGAGAGAAATCTCTACTGCACTTTAATACTGACCAAAACTGACAGGCTTTCTGTAATAAAATGCTGTGAACCAAGAGGTTATGTTGTGGGTAATAATTTGTGCAGTGGAAGTGGACATTGTGATTTAATATTGTTTTTTTTTAAAGTGGTAAATGATGCTGAAGTCTAGAGCACCATATTATTGAATGCTGTGTTTGTTGGTAAAATGTACCGTGCTTTTTTTGGTGGTTTGTTTGTGTTACTGTTTTGGTGCAGCCAACTTTATATACTGATGTATAAAATATGGCCTCTGTGAGTAAATGTTACATGCTAAGTTACATCATTCTATTTATAGCAGCACAATTACAGAGTTCATTATGTGGCGATCACAACGTCGTCAAAACTATCATTGAAATCAGAAAAGATTCACTTTAAAAGGGTCCTTAGAATAGAATCCTGGGGGGGGGGGGGGTTGTATTGTATTATCAATAATATTCACATGTATATATACTATACGTTACTGTGTATGGATATAATTACACGAACTGATTTATGGGTCTCCTTAGAACATATTTTATTTAAAGTACCTGAAATTATCTCCATGTCTAATCTAATCTCATTCTAGTCCTGTGCTCTAAATGCAAGTTACTGTTAGATATTGGGCGTTTCCCTGTAAAATATGCACGATAGGATAATCTCTGTAGCCTGTGTCCATTCTTTCTCACTTCAAAGGAAAGAAATTGTTTTTGAGTGAGTTAGCCTAAGGACGCCTTAATTGTTAATAGCCATGAACTCATAGTCATAGTAATCAGTGCCAGGAAAAAGACAGACAGATCAAACAGATACGCAAGAAATAGAATCTATCTTTGCGTCTTTAGACAGCCTGTAGGTTCAAAGTGTGCATGCATTTTGTCAAGTGGTTGTGCTCAAAACATTCAATTACGGAACAGTATTTACCATGATAAAATTTACAATGATATTGGCTATATATAAGATGCTTTATTGTAAACTTTTAAGTAGCATAGCCTTTAATATGATATTCTGAAAATAGTATCAATGTAGCCTACATATATGTGCACACATTGGTATTCTGAAAGTAACATATAAGCCCATTTCTTTGGATTTAGTAGGGGTTTTTAAAGCATTTTATGTTTTGATATGGCATTCTGAAAGTAGCAGAAAACATGTTTTGATTTAAATGGTATTCTGAAAGTTATATATTTTGATGGGTTCTGAAAATTGCCTATTTTGATTTCAAAAGCTTTTACATGCCTGTATTGATATGGTATTCTCTGAAGGTACCATCAAATTTATATTTATACATATTTTTTGTTCTGATATTTCAGAAAATATTGTACTGGTACATATTTATACATTGAAATGGTACACTATATTATGAAAATATTGCTTGAAACAGCTCTTCTGGTTGTTTAGAGCTGTGTGCTGTGATTATGAATTTCATTGCAATGATGTGAATTTGAATCAGTGAATGGTCATAGTTTTCTTGTCATCAATTGCACTTAAGCATTTCAAATGTATAGATTCTATGAAAAGATCTAGAACTTTACATGTATACGATGGTGAAATATGTATATATTTTTATCTATAAATTAAATGATGGTGTTTTTAAACTCCTATCAATACAATTTAGATCATTTTTGAGGTGGGCTGCTGACCCTATCTGAATAAGATAAACCAAGCTGAGAGGGTTAAAACATCCCAGCAGAGAAACAGATACTGGATTGAAAATTCTACCCACTCATGAATTGAACTTTGGTCTCCTGCATGTGACAGCGAAGTACCTAGCCACTACATCACAGACACCTGTTAAATAGAATTTATGTACATAGAATAATGAAAAGAGAAAAAAATGTAGATTCTGTATAGATCTATCATCCAGACCTCAATGGAACAGTGAAAGACGTAGAATCTGTTCAGATCTAGACCTTTGAAGTCATTGGAGACTGGAAAACATAAAAGTGCAAAAAGCACTTACCCGCCTCGCACTGCAGTAAATGCTATGTATACTACGATGCACACACTCATATACTAGAGTTGCCCTTGTCTTAGACTGGACAAGCGTTTGGTTGGAGGGTGTCATTGGTTGATCTTACTTCTAACTTCTGTACCCTCTCTCTGTAGTTTCTGCCTATTGGACTTGTTATTTCTTTGCACTAAATAATCATCTTTGTGTTGGATATGCTTCTCTTTTATACTCAAGTACAACGTTTACAATAAGCCGAGGCAGTTTGACACAAAAACAGCGGTAGGCCTATTGTTGTTGTGTCCCAGAGTGTGACAAAGTCTGCAAAATGCATGAAGAGAAGGAAATGAATGATTGAATTTAGAAATATTACATTTCTAGAAGTGATAGAATATCATAGAACCATATCAGACTGCATAAACTCACAATCTTTTCACTTCTTTTTTTTTCCCAGCCCCAGAAAGGCAAGAAAAAAGGTAAATAACTCTTGCCGGGAGACACACTGCGGCACGGAAGTTCACATGTTGATCATGGACTCAACACCTCCAAAGATGTTTTTCCTTGTCTTTGCTGATTCCGTCCCTCATAACAGAGTTTACCCAAAGTTTTGTACTGTATTTTGTTGTTTTTTCTCCAGAAGGAATTATTAAACTTTTTTCAGAACAGCAGTTTTACATCTGATTTCTGCTCACTGCTTTCTGCTAAATTCTTCCACCATAGCAAAATCAAGTTTTTGCTTCGGGCGGACTCATTATGGAGAATCTCTCTCCTTTAAAAGCCTCACTCAGTACAGTAGTCTCCGCCTAAACGCATGGTGCTCGGGAGGGCTCTTCAGCGTGTGTTTATACGGAGTGTGCGTTTACATGAACCTTTGCAAAGGGAGGAAGGGACGCAATCATTTCATTGCCTTGATATTCTAGTGACCTCCCTTTGGGGTGAGGGTCAATTTTTTTCCGATAATGTGACGACACGTGACTGTTTTGTGAAGGATTCCCCGACTGCGGTTATGACTACAAAGGCGTTGAATGGGGGGGGGGTGTAGAAAGACAGCCTCAATGTAAATGAATGTAATGAATATGCACTATAAAACGTCGGGCACAGCTAAGAGGAAACTTTAGGAGATAGTCATAGATCTAGTCATAGAGACGACGGCGCGACCACGTGGCTTTCCAAGCGACCACCCCCTGACCGTAAATTCACGGACCACATCAGAATCATAGATCTCTACATTCAGAGAAACATTTCTCTTGTGATTCGTTGAACAAGTACGTTATAAGAATATATAAGTTCTTCGAGCGCAACTGATTATGCTTACTTGGCTAATATTAAACCCTATTGAGGCCTATCTAGTGTTTTCTGCATTCATGCGGGTTGCGAACTCCTTGGTCTAACTAAACATTACACCATACGCAGTCACCCAAACACCAGTCAGAGACCTTCTCTCAAAGATGCATTTCCAGTGACCTATCAAAAAACAGTTCAGTCCCCAAACCGCCCCTCCCCCCCACCTCCCCGACAAGCCCTAGACCGAGAACCAGACCTATGTGTCTGTGGAAAATTGGGTGTGAAAACGTTGTCCATCACTCTCTTTGTTCCGCATGAGGGGCACTCTCACCCGGTTTTCTTGGCTTGTCTATGCAAGCTGTGCAGGTTGTAGAGAAAATTTCCCCATCTCAAGCTTAACCTGTCAGCGTGTTTCGCGGATCGGAGCGTGTGTTTAGAGGGAGTGGCCGTGCTTTTGTACGTCTAAATTATATAGTAAAAAACCCGTCAGATGATGAAAGTATGCGTTTGAGCGGAGCGTGCTTTTGTATGGCGTGCATTTAGGCGGAGACTACTGTACAATGTTTTCTGCCCACATCAACACAATTTAGATCAATATAAAGGATAGGCTGCTTTGACCCTGCCTAACACATGAGAAGGACATGACATTCCAGAAAATAATGGTTGGATGCATACTGTAGTCTTCTTAAATCGAACACGTTTAAACCGAAACAGCAGTAAATTACTGTAAATCATAAGAAAAAAGGTTCCCCATTTATTTGTTCTATTTTGTCATTTGTAATAAATTCAGACAAAATTAAACTGACTTCTATCAAAGGTGTGTTCATTCCTTTGCACAGAAACACAGGTGTCTGTGGTGTAATAGTTACGAGCTTTGCTATCACATGCAGAACACATGAGTTTGTGAATTGTTTATCAAGTATTTCTGTCTTTCTTCTGGGACTTTGTATCTCTCTCAGCACAGCCATCATGAAAAGAACCCGGTATTGAGGAAAAGATTGGAGGATGGATAATGCTTGTGCCTTGTTGAAACTTGTTCGATGGTGGAGCAAGAGAATGGAAGAGACTGATGCTGATGAGCCCTATGACTTTTTAAAAATTGCTGTAACTTCAGATCACGATCTTGATGATGTAACCAACATTGGTCGGAGCACGCCACCTACCCCTCTTGTGAAATTGCTTCCTGATCTATACTTTCACATTCAAACAACCATACACACATTCCTTTTTCTTCTTTTTTTTGGGGTGTTTTACGGCACTCGCAACTGCAATACAAACATTCACCAACACACAAACAAATGTCATTCTCGCAACATATGACCCAATGCAGTGCCACATTGTCTATCTTCTAACACACCACACCACCAGGTATCTACCCTCATATGATGACAACATTCAAGAAAGTTCTAGTGCCTTTTTGTCCACTACAGTTACTGATCGATGACGCATCTCAATACCAGCAGTGTGAGTATTATGCTGTGCAAAGGCGAGTCTGATAGGCTCAGGTAACCTGATACCGGTACTCTCAATAGCGATAAGTGTGTTTACTTTCCCTCTTGCGCACAGGGCAATTTCAGGCTGAGGTAAGGAAAAATTTGATGGGGCTTTTCGAGATAGCTGTTTGAGACATCCGTGCAGATGCTCCAGAACATAATGCTGCCAATAATAATAAAGTATGAGGTATTCATGAATTTGAGATTTGCATGTTAGAGCTATCTGTGCATGATAGCAGCGTCGATGAGGACATAAAAATCTCCCTAAGAAATTGAAATGTGTTTGAACAGGTTTGAAAATGGCATTTGAAAAGACTGCCAACAGCCCATAGTACCTACTTTTTTCGCTAAGAGCTCATTTTGTTTGATCCAAATTCTTTGCTCATTCATCTTTCCCTTGCTGATAATGTTTAAAATCAAGTTCCCCTTTCCATTGTCAGTATTATTCAATTCGTCATCACATCAATATAGCAGGCAAATTCGGGGACTTCAATCTTGACCATACAATCACCCAGTGTGTACAGTGGAATTTGGATTCAACGAGGTCGCTGGGCCTGACCTAAAATCTCATTGAATCCGAGTGTTCGTTATAGCAAACACAAGGTTTTGTGTAGATAATTACACAGGCACTGAGCAAGTAATGTATAGAGTGGTCACAAGTAGTGCCTGATATGCCTGCATATTATGAGCTGTGTAAAAAAAAAAAAGAGCGATTCGTTCAAATGCACCCCTGTGTCACTCAATTGTTTACCACAAAGTAGCGTTGCTGTGTAGAGCCTAGCATACGGCAACTTTAGATTCTATAGATCAGCCCACAATTCATTACGGAGATCTACATCAAGACTAGCTTATCATTGTAATAATGATCCGTTGCCGAGGAAAAAAAAGACTGTGACGCGTTTGTGTCTGCGACGTTCAACGCCCGGACCGCTAGTGCCACTCCCCCCTCCCCAACGCACACACGTGTGCAGGCCACCCATCCGACCCCGACACACGCCAGAGTAGACTCGTGCGCGAGCCAACAACGCATGTGTTGGTATGTAAAAAGGCCGCTGATTGGTCGTATGCAACCGGTTAAGTGAATATTGGTTCACGATGCAGTTGCAATGGATGGTTTCCGGGAATAGATAAAGTTCGTTGTGGGAGAAAAATGAGCGAAGCCACGTCTGCGGGGGCTGTTCACCCTGGAAGCGACCTCGTTGAATTCGAGCTAGCTGATTTAAGTGCTTGTTGAATCCGGGTTACTTTTATTGATTTTAAAGAAGAAAAAAACGGGGAATTTATCCCATCTCGTTGAATCCGAGTTCTCGTTGAATCAGAGTTCCACTGTATGTGTTTTCGCTTTCAAATATTGAATGTCACTGTCACAACTCCCAAACACCACCTCCATTTATTCTTGACTTTAGCATACATTTTTTCGATGTATTGATTTCCGTAAAATTACAGATGATTGGAAACAAAACGAGACAAATGTGCAAATATAGCATAAAGAACAAAAACATTACTTTGAAAATTACAGATTGAATAGCATTTATTTTCCTTGAATCATCCAGGACATTTCTCTGACAAAAAAGGGGTCGGGTTACACTCCTGTGTCAAAAACAAAAGGAAAACTTTCATTCAGCCCACACCTACGATTCTCATACAACAAATGTTTCAGGAAGATAAACAATCACTAAGGTCATTTCCCTTCAGCTTCAACAAAATAACATTACAAAATGTTTGTCCATAATACAACAAAACATCACACACACACACACACATGTTTGTCCATACAACAAAACAAAACAACCAACATGTGTTTGTCCATATATAACAAAAGAACATATGTGAAGCAGCGTGGTGGAATCAGGCGCTCGTCAATTTTTGGGCATGTAGAGTTATTGGTATAATCTTAAAGGTTGTTCACTTGTGTTTATTTGGATTTTAAAAATATCCATTTATCTTGAATACAAGTCAAGATATTTGTAAAAGAAAGAGGTGGGGGTCACCTGTTTTCAGAGGTAAAATTAATGAGAAAATGGCCGCCAAAGATTAGTTATTTCCTTAGCTTAAGAGTCCGTGATAACTGAAAATTTACATTTTTTGTGCCTTTAATCAACGTTTTTCAGAAAAACTCATACAGAAATGATTTCTTTAATGAGCATGAAAGGTGTTGAGCCAAAAAACAAAAATTTGATAAAAATTCACAAGCCTGCGAACAAATGCAAGTTTGTTCACTTTGATTATTTTGATGAGAGCCTGATTCCACCACGCTGCCTCACATATATGTGTTTGTTCATACAACAAAACATCACACACCATATTGTTCATACAACAAAACAAAATATGTGTGTTTGCTCATACAACAAAACAAAACACAACATGTGTTTGTTCATACAACAAAACATCACACACCTGATTGTTCATTCAACAAAACAAAAACACAACATGTGTTTGTTCATACAGCAAAACACATGCATGTTTGTCCATACAACAAAGGAATGTACTCCTGTTCATTCCTATACTAGCAAGGTCAGCAAAGCTATGGCAACACGTCTGAGCCAGATGATGCGCCACTCCCTCTGTAACGCGTCAGACAACCCACCTTCTCTCTCTTTTTTTGACATATACAAAAAAATGCACCTATACGCATGCATGCACACACACTCTCTCTCTCTCTCTCTCTCTCTCACACACACACACACACACATACACACACACACACATACACACTCTCTCACTAGATTTCTATCTTCCTTGATTTCTCTCAATCTCTGTCTATCCCTCTTCCCCTCTCTCTTTCTCTCTCTCTCTCTCTCTCTCTCTCACTCTCTCTCTTTCACTCTCTCTCTCGATTTCTATCTGCCTTCTTCCTTGATTTCTCTCAATCTCTCTCTATCCCTCTTCCTCTCTCTCTCTCTCTCTCCGAGTCTCTTCTCACTCTCCTTTCTCACAGACACCCACAATTCAACCACAACAACATGTATCCCCCCCTTAAACCTTCCCCTGCGCTATGTGCGTCTCACTGGGCTGTGTCTTGGAGTGCAGCGGGTTCGCACCTTGGTGTGAGGCTACCATGTCCTTCGTCCTGCGGTACCAGGGCCCAATCTTGGAGTTCTTCAGCGCGTCCTGGAAGGCAGCACAGCCCTCGATAGAATTGAGTACTCCATACACCGCCTGGCACGAATATACAAAATGTTTTTAAAATACAGCTATATGTAACAAGTGTAAAACATATTCATATATTCAGTATATATAACACAGATCAAGGAATATCTTACAAAGATAGAGAAGGAGAAAAAAAACCGGGACCCCAGGCACAGTTCAACATTTGTGTGATTTCCAGTCTTCTACGTTCGAACTATCCGTGTTATACTGTATTATGGCAGAGCCCTCTCCTCATACTGTCCGCTCATCATGTTTAGACAGTGACCGTCATATTGTGGCACAGCCCTCTCCTACTGTCCGCCCATCGCGTTTGGCCAGTCACTGGCTTTCCCCACTGCGCATTTTTGTCTGAAAACTTCTACCCGGCAAAGCCACAATTTCTATAATAATAAAGAAGGGCATTTGGTGTTATAGTGGGGATCAAGTGGCACAATCGAGTCACAAATGCTCAACTGTGGGAAAGAACAAGCCAAAGGCAAGAAAAGGATGACATACAGGTGAAGAAATGGAAATGGATTGGGCACACCCTGAGGAGACCCCCGACAAGCATCATCAGACAAGCTTAGACGTAGAATCCAAAAGGAAAATGTTAGAAAGGAAGACCAAAGATTACATGGAGGCAAGCGGTACATGCGGAAATAGAAAAGGCTGGGACATCATGGAAACAGACAGAAAAGGAAGCACAGGACACTGGAGAAATGTTGTTGATGGCCTACGCTCCACTGGGAGTTAAAAAGGGCAAGAGAGAAAGAGATGTGGTGTTTGCTTTGCTTCAAACAGTTCCGAGTGAAACAATTATTTAATGGCTGATCTATTTCTGACACTAATGTAGGAACAATCATACTATGAGACAGAGTTGTCAATTTGGAATGTGCACTTACGAGTGATCATTTTACAAAGGAAAACTTTGGTTTTATGCTGCCAGCATAAGGCGGATCGTGCTTTTAAACATTGTGCTATTAGCTGGCCACCACAGAATGACTGTAGAAATACAAGCTTACAGGTGACAGATGCTACAAGAACGACTACAGATATACAACTTTGTTTTGTTTTAGTAAGCGTTTTGCAGCTCTTGCAACACAATTAGGTCATATAAATGCCAAAGATTAGAGGTGTTACAAGATTAACAAACACAAAAAAGGAAGAGAGATAAGGACGATAGATATTTGATAGGGAAGAAGGAGCAAAACCACACCAGAGCACCCGTCAATCATCCAAACAGAAATACAAACACACATAGGAGAAACTTCTATAGAGAACTATAGAACACCATCAGCCCCTTCATTCATTGGCTGTAAGGCTATCATAATAATATGTGTCATCATATAAAGAGGAAGAACGATGCTCAACCTCTTTTGCCATTGTGGATGGAAGGGCAGAGAACTCACCAAATCTGCTAAATTCGGTTGGTTGCCTCCCATGAACTGTTTGTTCTTTCCAATGGCCTTGACCCATTCATTACAGGCGTCGTAGAGAGACTGACGTACGTCGTCCTTAAGCTCATACCTGTGGAACACGGAAAACAGTATGTAGTGACACACAGGCTAACAAACGCACCTATACAACATGGAGCAAAGCGTGTAGTGACACACAGACTAACATATACATACATCTGTGGAATACAGCATACAGCGTGTAGTGGCATACACGCTGACATACAAATATGTGGCACACGAAACACAGCAAATACAGACTAACAAAACACAAGCATATATTCAAATAACGCTGGCTCTCTCGTACAAAGTAAGGCATACTGTGTATATTAATCAATTTAAAAACTTACTTTTAGAAGCTTCCAAGCAGAATACATGAATTCCAGAAGAGAAAAAGCATTTCTAAAACAAAAGATCATAATGCTTTACATCCCCATCAACACAATTCAGATAATTTAGGAGGTGGGATGCTTCGCAACCAACCTGAACTGAATACGATACAACATCCCTATTGACAGACAGAGACACAGGATTAAAAATAACATCCCCATACTAGAATCGAACTCATACCACACAGACTTACTTGTACTTGAGGATGATCCCCATGACATACATAACGGCTGCCCCTACATAAATGACCATCATCCGCTCAAAGAAGGAGAAGTTCTTTTCCCACTCCCCGACCTCGGAGAAGTAGTTGAAGGACTGCAGCGACTCTCGCATCGTGCGGTAGGCGTTGGGGGACAGCATGTGGACCATGTGATCGTCGGCCCATTTACGCCACTTGCGCTCCTCGCTACAAACAGAACAAAAATCATTTCTTTCAGAAACTATCTATTTAACACACCCCCCCACCCCCACCCCATCCACACAAATTAGATCACTTGGGACGCCGACTGCTTCAACCCTGTTTGTCAGGGCCGACCAAGGAGGTGAAAAATAGAATGGAGGCAGCACAGCATGCCTAATAGAAGCCCTCTCTTTCACCACGGCTGTTCAGTTCTACTATCCTTGCGGAGCACTTAGTTTCACCTGTCCGCTGACCTCCCGCGGTCATAATCCCACCTGACAGCCGGGCCACACGTCCCTTCCTGAGCGATAGCGCTGTTAGCCGATTTCGGTTGGAAAGTGTAATTTTCACTTGATTTAGACCCCTCTAAATGTCCTTTCTTATCTATCACTATGGGTGTGTGAGGTATCAAATGAAAGCTCAGATTCTCCCCAATCATACGCATCCCTTAGTTTGGTTTTAGTTGTAATCGTGAACACACATTGCCTCTGTACTTAACCCTACCTTGTGGTGCATGTATTTCTCGGATTCCTTCAAAATCAGGATTTTTTTTCCATTCATGAACTTCAGATTGTAACCAGTTTTTTATCTGCTGTATTAAGAGTCAGTAAAGGGGTTATTTGTGAAAAAATTGTTTTGATTGGTTAAAAACTTTAGCAGGACGGCGAGTTTTGTTACTTCACCCTGTAATATTTTCCTGGCCGCCGTGCTGCCCGTACGGTATTCACCCGAGGTCCCGCTTTCACTTTCGCGGATTCTGTGTCGACGCGTGTTACGAGAGTTTGCTACCAGAGTGAAAATGGAACACACGTGGGAACTACACCTTGAGTGTTTTAAAAATTGTGTAGAACGTGCGAGGACAAAAGTCAAAAGGTTAAGAAGGCAAACTAGAGCAAATATTTTTGTGTAAATTTTAAGAATGACGTACTCGATTCTCGTTCTCTATCATGTGAACGTGGACTGGGATAGTGCAGACACACATCCTGTACACTGTGCAACAAATGTGTAGGCCTACAGCGCATATACACCTTGAAAATTTGAGAAGCAACCCTAGCTGCTGCGCAAAAAAGTATTGAAGAAAGTTTACACATCTGGACACCTTTCGATCAAAATAAAACAGTAGATGTTTGCCCTGTGTGTTCTCTTTGCACACTTCAAAATAAAGATTGTATTAGAAAAGAACATCAAACACCGTCTTGCTCAAAAGACCCACCAGAGCCTCCATCTGTTGAAACACCGACCCATGTAATTACAGCAGACAAACCATCACATGACAGTACTCGACAGACATCCACAGTAGATCAATCATCACTAGAAATATCACCAGTGAATTCCCCACACAGAGATCTAACCCTTGAGACCCCAGCCGCGACTTCAACATCCAAACGTATACAGAAAGAGTTCAAAGACAATGCAACATCTCCTTTCACGCAGTTTGAAGACACATCACTACAGCATGCACTTCAGAGACCTATTACACAACCATTGTCTCATTTAGAAGAAACACTCGCTACGCAGTTGATATGGATTTGGCCTAGATCTAGGTTGAATGAGCGAGCGAGGAAGATGGCGAACTTGTTCACTTCAGCATCGCAAAACTGGAGAAGAGGACAATGGGAATTAAGGGAAAAGGGAAGCAGTTGAAATCTGTTACTGAAGGGAAAGAAGAGGAAGACAACTAGCCTTAGAACTCAAAGACACTTTTGCATTTCTTGTTGTGAGTATTCATATTTGTGTTCGTGAAAGTGAAAACAGCTCTAGCTGTGAGAAGACAAAGAGGAAATAACTCCTGTTTCATGAATTGGATAGCAGTGAACCTTCTACAATTTAACCATTTCTGCTAGAACTGTGAGGAGACAACGAAAAATCTCTCATTTCATGAGCTAAACAGTAGTAAATCTTCTACAATTTTCACGTTTCTGAACCAATCGAGCCAAAAGTAAGTGTTTCTGAAAGCTTATCATGTCACTGTTGTATACCACTGATTGTTTTATAGATCTGGGGTTCACATTTTAAAATATCGTTATTTTAAAAAGTAGACCCATTAAAAAATTTCCCTCAAAGTTGCCCTCAATTGCGCCATGTTTTAAAGGGTGCCCACCTATGAATATCGATAAAAAGTTATTTGCTGTAAAGCTCAAGAATGCCTCTATCTGTTGATAGTATTTTGACTTTGATTTGTCTGTGGGCAAAGCCACAATGACGATATTAAACTGTATGAAAATTGTTAAGTCAAAACAGTTCACTCGTAGAGCAAAGGTCAAAGTGACCTCCCTGACCACCCGCGTGCGGCATGGCTGACCGGGTCAATTCCTCAGGTAACTAAGTGCTCGGCTCGGGAACAGCCGTGTCTCAGGGGAACCATGGTCAAACTGTGCCGCACGCTGCTAGACTCTCACACTGAAAGCTATATTATTATTATTATTAGGTTATGTTAGTTGTTTTTTTATAATGCTCTTAATCAACTGGTCATTAGTCAGAATGCTCTCATAATAAATCGTTTAAGTTGCTTTCCTTTGTGTAAGCCAATTAAATGCCAAGCAAACCTATATATCTTGGTCAGATAAAAATCTAGCATCTAGGTATCTACATGTTTTTTTGTTTTCATACACACCTAAGCTTGAGTTCCATCAGGCGGATTTTGATTACTGTGTAGCCTCTCTATAGCAACATCGTCGGGACCAGAAAAAAATGTTGTTACAGAGAGTTGTCGTAATAGAAAGGCAACCAAAAATTATCAATGGTATATAACTTGAGAAAAAATCGGGACCCAGGCACCGTGTCGTTATATTGAGGATGTCGTAAAATCGAAGGTTGTTAAAGAGAGGCTGCACTGTATTTTTTTTTAGCACATTCTTCTCATTAGCTATTTCTGTTATTATTGTCTACGTGAAGGCTCCATTTTGAAAAAATGAAATCTGTACCTAACAATAATAATAACTCCTATGTTTAAAATGTATTTAACCATACCAAAAATCAATGAGCGGGTTGGGAGGGGGAGGGGGGTCTTGGATATGAGTTTGACTTTAAATCTCTTGTAATTGATCACTATCCGGTTTAAACACAAAGACACAATCACATAAATACATACAAATACATGATCACTATCCGGTTTAAACACAAAGACACAAACACATAAATACATACAAATACAGACTTAAATACAGAAACGCAAAAAAACACCCCCCACCTTTTCCCTTTAACCACAGAATCCAGATCACACCCAAATATATACACACATAATTAAACACATACAGACACTGACATTAAAAACACATTAACACATATACAAACACAAAAAAACATCCCCCACCTTTTTCCCTTAACCACAGAATCCAGATAACACCCACCCCCCCCAAAAAATATATATATACACACAAAATTGAACACATACAGACACTGACATACAAATACATACATATTAACACATACACACACAGACACACAAAATCATCCCCCACCTTCTCTCCTTAGCAGTAGAGCCCAGGTCGGCCTTCTCCTGGAACATGACAAAATACTTGTTGGGAAAATCGTACTTCGTCTTCCTGCCCACTTTTTCTGTCAAACACGGGTAGTACGAGTTAAGCTTCTGTAGACTGGTGGAGCGGTCATGGAGATAAGACTCCAGGATACTGACTACCACTGTACTGTCATGTAAAGCCTGGAATGTAAAGAAGTAAGTTAAGTTTTAGTAAGAAGAGTTTCACAGCACTTGCAATACAATAAGGTCACATGATTTCCGTAGATTAGAAGTGTTACAAGATAATAACAAACAAAAAAAAGGAGGAGGAGAGATAAGGATGATAGATGTTTGATAGGAAAAAAGGAGCAAACCACACCAGAGCACCCGCCAACCACTCCGCAAAGAAGTAAGTGACCATCATACTGTAAAGCAAGGCCTAGAATGTACAGAAAACTGACCAACAAACTTTCACATAAACAACCACTGTACTGTCATGAAAATGACCACAATAATTCTATCGTTGTAAACACCCACTGTACTATCATGTAAATGACCACCATACTGTTACAACGTTAATAATCACTGGACTGTCTAGTGTAAACAACTACCACACTGTAATGTGAATGACCCCCATACAGTTACGTAAATAATTACTGGACTGTTAGGTAAACAACTACCACACAATAATCACGAAAAAAGGCGTTTTGTCAGCTTTGCCTTACACAAGGCGTTTTAACAAGAACGCCTTCTTTTAGACGTTCGCTGACAGAACGCCTTTTTTTAGTCGCTGGCACAAAAAAAAAGGCGTAGTGTCGGCGATCTCTTTAGAAATGTACTTAGCCATATGCCTTATTGAAAAGTCAAAATTCGGAGACGGCAGATGGGGCACAGAATCCCTTTGAAGTTTGCTGCCACTATGTGTGTAGAAATTTAGA